GGACCCCGCCGGCTGACTCATGCCGGCTCTTTGCTCCTTGCCGGTTCTGCCCGGATATAAATATCTCATTCATCGCCGTAGTAACTGAGTAGCTTACGCTGCACTCTCGCAGGCTGCTCGTCTGCTCCGGCTCTGCGTTCGTCTGGCGCCGCTGAAACTTGGAGCGAGCGCCTCACCTGCCTGTCCTCATGGTCGCCTTCAAAGCCACATAGCGCTTGACACGTTAAAGTGAATGAAAGCTGGTTAATGAAAGCTGAGCTTGTCATGACTTAATATTGTGGTAAGGCGGTTTAAAGCTGGAAAGGATGAGAACCATTGTACCAGATAACTTGTACATTTTGATTTTCTTCTTAGAAGAGAAAAACCCAAACCATTTGCCTAGAATGCTCACTTAATTACATCTCCCTCTAAGATCAACTAAAACCTCTGCCCAGATAGGCAATTATCGTGTTTTCCAGTACTTCTATCCCTTAAGTGCCACTAGAGGATCAGTAATGGATGCAATATTGATTAATTTCCAGTAGGAGCTGACATGTTTGAACTCAGTAATTCTCAGTTTATTAAAAACAGTCTCTTAGACACACCCTCATATCTTGTTGGAAAAGTATTCTGAAGAATTTATCTCCCAACTTGATCACAGTCTGGTGCTTTGGAAAGTCCTGTTATGTGAAGTGTTTGAATTCAGAGACAAACCACTGCCAGTTTAAACTAGTCTGCACATGCAAGTCTCATCCCAAATCCCTACACAGGCTTTCTGTTAAGGTTGCAGAGCAATTGAATATTTTCCATGTTGTTGATACAGGGTGTGGTTTTGTAGACCTGCAACTCCTTGAAGTTTGGTACATTTGGATAAAGAAGGCTGCAGATTAGAATGTACTGAGAGTGGTTAGCTAATGCAGGGATTGATACCAGCACGATGGCCCAAACCTGTGAACATATCAGTGGCACACTGCCCTAAAAATGATTTGAACTGCAGCGCTACTGTTTTGTTGCCTTGCTAAATCTCCCTGTGCTTGGGCAAGTGCTTGCTGACTGAGACCACGCTTTGAAACAATTCTCCAGCAGCAGGAAGTGTTCTGCTAATGCCATTGTCTAGGATGGTTAAGTTTGTAGCTGGTAAGTGAGGCTTGACAACGTGGACCGTAGGTGGGAACTGTATCCACCCCTAGATTGACTCCTTTTTCAAGCAGAACTTAACTGTGGTCATGGTGGTGGTGGTATTTGTAAAAAAACTGTGACAGGTGAGGGGCAGTTTCTGGATGTGTGTTTTTAGTGTATTAGAAATCAGTAGTGATATCAATCATCCACTGCTTTGTTTAAAAACATGCAGCAAAATACTTTGTAAGGCTTCAGCTCTAAATGCAAAAGGAAACTGGACTTGCAACAGTCAAATAGAAGCACACTGGATCTTAGTGGCAGCTGCTGAACTGTTCTTACGGGCAGTTACCATAGTGCTGTTGCACTTTGACTTCAGAGTGATGCACAGTAAGCACAGCTTGGTGCACGATAGGATTTTGCAGGTAAGGATGAAAACATAGTAGAGCCTCATCGCGAGGGGTTTATATTCAGTGACTTGCCTTGCCTATTATCTAGTGTAAACTCTTCTGTGGATTAGGATGTAACAGATTGCATGAAGAAATGTAAGTCTAACTGGAACTCCTGTTCTCCGGTCGGCTGAGCAGCTCAGCCCACATGAAACAAGTAACAGCAGGGCCGGAGGAGTAACAAGTAAGCAAGCTTCAAAGACATAGGTAGCCTTTCATTCCCCCAAGGGTGCAGGAATTGAGAAAGGTCATTTTTTTTACAGTTGCACCAGAAGTAACCCTCTTGCCTTTACTTTGAGGCTCATGTAGTCTGTATAATGCCCTGTTTTGCTCTGCTCTGTTACATCTCCCCTACAAGCCTTTGTCTTACTCTCTTGAACAGTTTCTGGATGTCTTCCATTTTGATCCTGCAGAGAAAAGCTCTCCTTCCTCTGATTTGGCCTCTCAAGCTGCATGTCCTTTTTTAATCCCATTTATTCCTGAAAAATGTCCTTTTCTGAGATATTTACAGTATCTGAGTCAATATTTCTCTATTTCTTTCTGTAAACAAACCCAGTCATTCACAGTTGAAAATGAGTAATTCAGTAGTTGTGCTGTGGGCTTCTCTCAAGGAAAGGCCAGTGATTCTGAAGTGCTTTTCCAGTCTGACATTCTTTTTATGAGAAGCTGAAGATATTTCTTCCATTCTGAAGTCTCCCTTCTCATTTTTGCATAAAACTACCTTTCACAATATAGCAACCAAAGTGATTACTTTCTTTTCATATAAAGCTTTTTTTCTTCATTCTTTTCCCAGGGAAGCATTAATCACTAAGTAAGCTGTGGTCTGATTCTCCCACTTTTCCTCCTCTCTCCAGAGGTGCTGAGCTAAGCATGCTGAGATCTGTGTGATTTAGGTCTCACTGTTGCAGGTGGATCACTGTGCTGGTCTGGACAGTGGCACTTGCTTTGATTGTTTCACTGTTTTTCATTTTCTGCATTGATTTGGAATTATATTTTGAATAATAATCTCTGTTATATATTCAGACTTGTTCTTTGATTGACAGCATAGTGTCTGGACATCAGTGGACCATCTATCAGACTGATTCTTTCAGGACAGATCACTTCAGGTTGTCTGGAAGGGCTCCCATTCGCTGTGGCTCAGGCATTGCAAAAAGCATGTTGATTTCAGGACTGTGGATCTCTACTGAACAAACCAGAACTGAAATGTGCTGGGGAGCTTTTGCTTTTTGGTGAATGGCATCTTTCGCACCTGGTGATGTGAACCTGTGATGTGATGACATCTGGGGATCTGGTCCAAAGAGCAGGTCTATTGTTGAAGGATCCTAAAGTCTTCTGAGCAGTTGTTTTTGCCATATCTCCCTGCTTTACAAAACTCAGTTTCTGGAAGTAGCTGAAAGGTAACTGTGTATTGTGCAAAAGCTGTGCTTATCCTCTGCTGTAATCTCTTACATTTCTGAATCATGATACATTGCCTGAGGAGCACTCTGGGATGGAAGAGGCAACATAAATGTAGAATTACTACTCCAAGGGAACAGGGATGAGTGCTGACTCAAAGCTTCAACATTGGTTCTTCCCTATATACATCGCTGCTTTGGTTCAAGCCATAGCAAAGACTCAACTGAATCTTTCTGCTAAAGGATATCAGGCATTTTGAAATACATGGCAAGAGGCAGGGCTTCCAGACTTCTTTCTTCACGAAAGAGTCCTCTTCTGTTTTCAATACTGAATGAGTTTCAGAAGCTAGGGTTGCTAAAGATTAAAGAAAGAACACTTGGCCAATTTTACACCAACTCTTTTCCTTTTGTGGCTTTTAGTTTGATGGATGAATTTTTCTTTGCCAAGCTACCTAACTCACACAGGAACCACACCACAGCACAGTTACAGTTCTGTTTATCCTCAGTAACCAGGGTAAACTGCTATTAATCTGAATTCCTTTCCAGGGAAGAGGGGGTTAGAAATTAGCCCAGACATCTTGCATAGCTAGACAGGTCAATGCTTTTCTTTTACTTGCTCTGTTTATTAGTATTATTTTTAGTTTTGAGGCTTCAATTGCAGGTTGTGCTTTGGTTTGGGAGCTTGGTTCTCTCTCTTATTCTCAAGGTATTTCCAGTGTAATTGGGAACTCTCTGGAGATGCTCCAACTTCTGTTCTCTGTATATGACATTTTTCTCATTCTACCTGCTTTAGACTTTACACTTTGTTTAAATTTTTCTTCTGAATGAACCTGCAGTCTCACGCTAGTAAATTGTCTGGCTCCTTTACTATCTGTTAAGTATCTATTCTTGTAGCATGAACTTTTTTGCATGCCTTTCATTTAGACATTGGCCAAGAATGTAGGCTACTACTTATTTGGGAATGACTCTTTGAAGTGATGGAGAATTTAATAATATTTAGGGCTTTAATGTAAACCTCAAAATTATTTGATTCATCAAGTTGATAGCACATTAGAAGTAGTTATCCAGACTGTTCCTGATGTAAGGAGCTAAACCATGTTGATTAATCTGAAACTTCTTTTCAGTCTGTTTTGTGGCTTTTTTCCCCACTTTCATGTTGCTTTGTGAGATTTTTTTCCCCCTTGTTCTTTATGGCTGTTACTAATGTCTCTCTATGTTAGCTTTTCCTGCTGTTCTTATTTGGATGTTTGAAAAAAACTCAAACCCTAACAAAACAATTACAGTAAAACATGGAAGTTCTTAGGCCAAATGTTGCTGTTAGGTGTGGATTTCTAGTTTGTAAGTTTCAATGTCTGGGTGAGAAATCCAGGTCACACTACCATCTGTTCTTTCAATCCCTACAATGAATGTGGAATTTCCTCTGTTGACCATGTGTTTTCCATTGCTATTGGAACAGTAAAATGAATTCAAGGCAATTGTGGTCACTTTTTCTGCATTAAAATTTTGTAGCATTACAATAGTGAATCTGAGAAAGCAGAGAATCAGGAATATACTTGTCAGAGGCTTAGGGGAAGAGAGGCTCCTCTGAACCTGTCTTGTTACCTCACATTGTAGTTAACTAAGTCTTCATAATCCTTCAAAACCTCCCTGCCATGAATACATATGCATTTGTGCGTGTGATTGAGTTGGGAGGCATTAGGAGGCAGACACATGGTGGGGAACTGTCCAATTTGCTTTAATGTGAGAGTATGTGTGCCAGGCCAGAGTGAAAAATGCCACTGCTGGCAGCCCACAGGCAGAGTGCTGGGCTGGGGGGCAGCTGGTTTTACTCTGCATGTTTCTGATTCAAAAAAGAACACATAGGATATTAGGGCAAAACCCTGGATATTACCTCACGATCGTTACATAATTCCTTGTGAAGTTTGAGTTCATGACCTATTGCAGCCTTATTAAAAAACCCAAACAAAACACTCTGTTCTTTCCTTACAGTCTTCCCCAGTTACGCAGAGAAAACCCTACGTGCCCCACAAGTGTGCTGCCACATCGCAAGCCAACCCGATGGCGTCCTCTACTGCTGTGCCTGTAGGATTTCACTATGAAACAAAGTATGTAGTTCTCAGCTACCTGGGACTTTTGTCACAAGAGAAGCCTCAGGAGCATCCTCCTCCTTCAACGCAAGGTAATATTTGCATATTAATCTGTACCTATTTACTATATTTGCAATTAGTTCTTCAGCTGTTTGTGCATGGATGCAGAATGTTAGCCTGATGTTTAGTGTAATGTGTCTTTCATTTTATTCATTTAAAATAATGGGGAGAGATGCTGATGGAAACAAACCCGTTCATTTGTATTTAGATTCCTGTTTTAATTTGAGCTATGCCAGCACTGATTGGTGTTTATGAAGCAAATATAAGCAGGTTTTGTAGCTGTCTTGAGGTGAAGAGGAGTGGGTATATTGTCTTTGTTGAGCTGTCTTGAGAATTTGAGCCCATGCTTGCTTATTTTGGAGCAGAAAGTAGAAGTGAGCAGGGGTGAGATGGTGTTTACCAGCATAAACTCTGGGCAACACCTTGAGCAATCTCATGTGCTGAATAGTTTTGTCCTATTAGATTAATGCTTCTGTTGTTGTCAGTCAGCAGTAGTGCAGAGATGTGAAGCTTAACCTGGCCTATGCTCCATCTATTTATTTGTTTATTTTTAAGAAGTCAAGGAGTCAGATAGAGTCAGATGTTTCTACCAGGACAGGTTTATGCACACAGGAGGTTAAATAAATATATAGAAGGCAGAATAAATTAAGTTTATTAGGTTGTGTTTCACATAAACCTAGGTAGTAAAACTTTATTTTGTGGTGGCAAGCACTTAAACAATGTTTGTCAAGATTGTTTGGGTGGCTTGTCACTCTTAATGACAAGTTTCAGTCACTACTATTTCCTGTGATTCAGAACTTACTATTATGAAAGGTGTATTTAAAAAGCCCATCAAAGACAGTCTTCAGTATCTTTTGTTTCAGTCTTCAGAATCTTTTTTTTTAACAAGTGTTTAATAATGCATACTCTGTCATTTACTGAACTTACCTGTCATGAAGTGAGAAGTTCCTGAAAAGAAAAGATAGCATCAAAGTTACGACAGAAACGAAATTTTATCAGTTTGGCACTAAAGCCTATAGCATATGCTAGTTATATTATATATAATTTATAAAATTCATCTTAGTATATTTATGTATGTTACTTCCACTTTGACTGCATCCGTGGTCTGTGAAAGGAGAGGCACCTTAGTGCCAAGATGTGGTTTCGTAAAATCCTTTGTTGGAAAGTGTGTTTATTTTAGCAGTAACATCTTATTCCCAATATCCCATCTGGGATAACTGGGCTGTAGCTGGAAATGTTTAAATTCGCCAGTTGACACGCTTGTGAGGTGGGCTGTTGCCAACCTTACGAAGTTTAACCAAGCCAAGTGCAAGGTCCTACACCTGGGTCAGGGCAATCCCAGGCACAGCTACAGGTTGGGCAGAGAAGAGATTCAAAGCAGCCCTGCGGAGAAGGGCTTGGGGGTGTTGGTTGATGAGAAACTGAACATGAGCCGGCTTCAGTGTGTGCTCACAGCCCAGAAAGCCAACCGTATCCTGGGCTGCATCAAAAGAAGCGTGACCAGCAGGTCGATGGAGGTGATCCTGCCCCTCTGCTCTCATGAGACCACTTCCAGTACTGTGTGCAGTTCTGGTGTCCTCAAGATAAGAAGGACATGGAGCTGTTGGAACAAGTCCAGAGGAGGATCACGAGGATGATAAGGGGGCTTGAACGCCTCGTATACGAAGACACACTGAGAAAGTTGGGGCTGTTCAGCCTGGAGAAGAGAAGCTGCGTGGAGACTGCATAGCCGCCTTCCAGTATCTGAAGGGGGCCTACAAGGATGCTGGGGAGGGACTCTTCGTTAGGGACTGTAATGGTAGGACAAGGGGTAATGGCTTCAAACTTAAACAGAGGAATTTCAGGTTAGATATAAAGAAGCTCTTCACAGTGAGGGTGGTGAGGCACTGGAATAGTTGCCCAAGAAGTTGTGAATGCTCCACCCCTGGCAGTGTTCAAGGCCAGGTTGGACAGAGCCTTGGGTGACATAGTCTAGTGTGAGGTGTGCCTGCCCATAGCAGGGGGGTTGGAACTAGATGATCTTAAGGTCATTTCCAACCCAAACCATTCTATTATACTATGTGTTGAATACGTATAAAACTACAATGTGCAAGACTCTGCTTTGTTCTGTAAATACATGCTTCAGAAAAAGTTGGGTTTTTTAATAACTTGGCAATTGAGGGGAAAATTTTCAACCGATTCTTATTACTGAAATGTCAAAGAAGTATTTGAATTAAAGAGCAATATTAAAACTTTATAAAGAGGAGGCTACAAATGCTGAAATAAAAATTTTTAGTCAGTTAAGAGGACTTTTAAGCTCCTGAGTAAAGATAACTGCTGAGTCTACTTTTCAGATATTATTTAAATATGTTAGCTTGTGTGACAGTAGGCTGCAGTTGGATTTGCTATTAAAATACTTCAGTATTAAAATAGCATTGATACTTCCCAAATCTCTTCTTTCATCCATGTTGCTCTAAACCTTCCCTCATAAACTGGAGATTCTCCTACATTTTCCCCACCCTCACTTCCAAAACAAACAGTGACCACAGCTTCTCCTCTCCTGGTCATCTTTCACTGTAATTAGATCTCTCTTTTAGTTTTTTTACTGCTTTCTGTTCAAAGCCTCTGGATAAAGTATTTTTCTCTTACTTTTAATCTGTCATCTTGTTTCTCACTCTTTTTTGTAACACTTTGGATGGACTTAAGGCTGTTACTGAACTAAGTGCAAACACTACCCTTCTGCTTCAGGACTTGTTTAATTATTTCCTAATTCACTTTTCCTGGTGCTTTTTTTTTCTTTCTGTGCTTTCAATAGCTTTAATTTGTCTGACAGTTACTTTTTAAAAACCCTTTCTCCTACTTACTCTGTCGTTGCTTGTAACTGCACAGTTGTTTCAGCTGTACTCCCAGGGTATATGGGTGGTAACAGCTATGTGTTTATTTTGAAGTACCGTATGCATCTTCTTTGAATATAAAGTAGTTTATATATACAGTCTGTATCTCCTTGTTGTCTGGCAGGTGGGTGATGCCTACTTGTGGAGAGCTGTACCAGCTCTGCTCTGTATGCTCTATCTTCTCCCCCAGGGAGACAGCAAGAGAAGCAGCAGGCCATAATGGATATTACCTGCACTGCCTAATGCACTGCCAGGAGGGAGCTGGGTATTACAGTAACAAGCGTGGTCTGAGAAACCTGGTTAGAACAAAGGAGATGTGAAAACCAGTAAATGAGAATTAATAGTTGCTTTGTAGAATCCCATCAGGAGAAGGAAGGTAGTGGTATTTGGTAATGAAGACATATGAAGGATAATAACAGTATGACATTACATTATGCTTGTCAGTGTGTTTTTTAAGCACTGCCGTCAGTCCTTGATACAGTATCTTGACTGGTCCCAAGTTCCTTTCACTGATGATTTTTGTGACACTTTAAAATGCTGGTCAGTAGTCTTTCTGCACTCCATGGCTGAGTGCTGTTTATTTATGAATTGAGAGGTTTCTGATACAAAGTAACTGTCACTTAGTCTTACTTTGCTGTAATTTGGTTATTGTGCTGGCAGACCTTTCATGGGAAACAGTGGGAGCAGTGATTTTTGGTTATTACCTATTTCTATTTCAGTTACAGAACACTTCTCTGTTTTATGTGTTTCATTCATATTGACTGTGCTATATAGTACTTTCCCTTCATTTATTTTTCTTAGATCCAAATAAGTCCGTACTTTTTGTTTTATTTCTGTATCATATTACAATATAAGGGGAGGATCCAGAAAGCCTAGTTTTAGTTTGCCCTCGTAATCATAGAATCATAGGATGGTTTGGGTTGGAAGGAACCTTAACAATCACCTAGTTCCAGCCCCTCGTCATGGGCAGGGACACCTTCCACTAGACCAGGTTGCTCCAAGTCCCATCCAACCTGGCCTTGAACACTGCCAGGGATGGGGCAGCCACAGCTTCTCTGGAAAACCTGTGTTTCACCACCCTCACAGGGAAGAGTTTTTTCCTATATCTGATCTAAATTTCCCCTCTGTCAGCTTAAAGCCATCACCCCTTGTCCTGTCTCTACATGCCCTTGTAGAGATGTCAACCTCTTTACTCTCCTTCAGTGCCAGAGTGAGGGACTCCTCTAGAGGGCAGTTCAGAGCAGGATCCTACTTACAGCCACTTTGTATCACTTGCTGGAGGATTTCTCTTCCCATTGCATGAACCCAGAACATGGCACACTAGATGTAGTTGGTATTTCTGTAACTCCCGTTCTACAGTGCTGTCCCAGATTACAGTGAAGTTTCAACACGCCACTTAAACTAGAAAGTGTAACTGACAGCTAAAAAACCAACCAAAAAAGCCGTCTTTCCCAACAGGAGTGGTATTATTTTATCTCTACTAGAAGTGGTGGGAGAAATGGAATGGTTTTGTCCATTGCCCTCCTTTTCCTCCTACCGTCATCTCGCATGAACCTCTGCTTTCCTGCATTCTGTACTAGAGAGTTCTCTTCCTGATGTATGTGGTTTTGTTCCAAAAACTCAGACAAGAGTAAATGTTGAAGATATTTTTTAGATTTCAAGGTTTTTTTTAGACATAATATGCTTTACGAGTTTGATGATTTTCAGAGGGGTTTTATTTAGTAAAGAGAGAACTCAGACAAGTTATACAGAAAATTACCTCACTGTATTTCCTTGTGGATCTCTTGCTTGGTCTTGATTTTGTTGCAAGAAAAATGGCTTCAATTGTAAGACCTAAAACCACTTATGGCTTCAAGCAAAGAAGGCTGCTCTAAGTCAACATCTGATCACTACTTTGATATTTTTATTAGATAGCTCCTCTTCAGTGCAGGGTCTGAAGAGAGAACCACCAACAGTATTCCAGGCTGTTGTAGAGCAGGCAGTTTTATTAGACAAACAAGTGTTTTAACATTACAGCTCTATGGTATTCTGTTGTTGATTTATTTCAGTGTAGTACTCTGTAGCGGATTTCAGTGTCTCCAGAGGAAAACCTAGCAAACTTAACTGGGCAACAGTTTGAGAGATTATTCCTATTACAGTTTTGGCAGAATAGTGATTCTGCATAGCACTGACTTCAGTTTATTTAAAGCAAAGTGCATTAGCCATAAATTCTGTTACTTTTAGATAGTTTTTCAGGTAGGTGAATAACACAAATTGGTCAGCTAAATCTGATAAAACACACGTGATAAGGTATCATCTGCGTGAGTTCACGTGGTTTGAGGCCTCAGACAAGGACAATTATTTGAAATGTGTGGAAGCTCTCAGCTCTTCATTACATTGTGGAGAGATGCTTTAGTATTTTTTCAGAACTCTTGTACTATCTGTAAGTACTGGTTTATACACAGAATACATATATCAAGGTTTTGAAAACATTTCTGCATTCTGACCCCTGAAGTTCACGCTCAGTAGAGAAGCTTCCAGTCTGCTGTAGTTGTTAGTACTACTGACTTTTTAAGTGAGTCAAAATACTTTGGTTTTGTGATTCAATATATTTGTATTATAAATGCTTCTTTGTGTTTCATCAAGGAGTAACTTTCAGTGTATTTTCTGTTTTTAAACCACACGGTTTGATCCCATCTCATGAGCCTGTGGCTATAACAAAGATTGTGAAGTATTTTTTCTGTGTTTTCCTTGTCAGAATGAGAAATCTTGAATGATCTCTTAGCTCACATAGCATCTGGAAGATTTATAATCAGTGCCACTACTGCATGGTGGCATAGATTAATCAAGAGATGGACAAGGTTTTGACAGTTTTACAGTTTCCCTGAGATGCTATCCACAGTACTTTAATCCACTTGTTGTGCATGATGTTCTTTTAACCACTTACCTGTTTTGGAATTACTGTGTGAAGTGCTGTATATAGTCAATGGTCAAGGTATTTTAGTGGTTTCCCACACACGTTTTTTACACCTGAACAGTGTCGAACAGGGTTGCCAAGAGAGATGGGTTTTTAGTTTGTTTTTCACATGCTTTGGTTAGAAGTGAACTCTTTTACATCCCAGGGATTACATGTACAGGTAGGCAGAGATGGTCAGGTTTCATGCATTGTATGGGAGCTCATGGCTCCTTAGTGGCCATGCTAAATCCAACAGTAGTATCCCATTTATACAGTTTTGACCATCACGGGTTGGATACTTGCCATTGCCAGATTTTCTGCCATCAGGTGATGCACTGACTGTTGCAGAATATCTTGGTTTTCTTTGTACTCCATCTGTGTATCTTCACTTACTCTTCATCGCACCTACTGCTGGCCTGTAGGAAATGAAGGCATTTTTGCAGTGGGTTTAGCTTAGATGAATAACTCATTCTCAAGAAACCTTCCTGTTTGGGCAAAATATACCTACTTTGGGTGAAAAGTCACAGGCTGAAAAGGTGAATGTTGTAGGTCAGACCAATCCAGTTTGTGCTAGTAAGGGAGCCATTTCCTGAACTGAGCCAAGGAAAGGAAGATTTTGGGGTGTCACTTAGAAAAGATGTGGTCCCTCCAGGACTGTGAATTCCCTCTTAATTAAGCCTTCTCTCTGCCCACAAAAAAAAGTGACTGCTAGTTGGCAAAGTCTTGTCTCTTCTCTTCTTGGGTCTTAATATTTTTGGCTTTTTTAGTTTCTTTTAAGCTGAGCCTTCTTATGATGACTATTTGCATTACTAAACATGAAAATGTGTTCTTATCCTCTGGAATCTATTTTTGCTGTTTTATTCTACTTGTTTGCAAACTGATTTCAAAGTTGTTTAAGGAGAGAAAGATACTGCCTGTTTAGGACATTTGATATTGAAATATGCTGTTCTCCAACACTGGGTGCAATTTTTGGTGGCAGTGTTTGACATACAGGAGATGCAGAAAGCTGAAGTTCATTGATAATTAGGGGAATAAACAGTGCAAAGTCACTGGCCTGGGAGGGGTACATTTTTGATGTTTTGGCACAACTGAAGAGTCAGGTGCTATTGGAATCAGCAGCAGCTGCAAAGTTGTGGGTGTTACGAGATGGAAACCATTGACTGCAGCACTGATTATCTAAACAGCTCTTTTGTACACTGGCAGCAATGGAATTTCTCTTCCTTCCATTTTCCGGGTGACTTATTATCAAGTATGACAGCTTGTCATGTGTGATCATCATCACATTAGTCCCATGAGAACGGGTGCTCTTCTGAATACCCCCATCCCTTCCATATACAGGGTGAAGCCCAGCTTAAAATAAGAGTTTGTACTTGCATATACTTGTCGCACTTGACTGTAAAGCAGTGGTTCAGTCATTCAAAGAGGCAACTTAAAGGGTCTGACAAGGCATTAGTGAGTGTCTGTTCATTAACCAGTTTACTCCTCTCTGGAATTTATTGTTCAGAGTGGCAAAGAGAGACTGTCTGAGAATGGATTTAAGAAGCTAAATAAAGTTATTCTGAGCACAGTGATGATGTGTGGTTAAGTAAAATGGAATTAAACTGACTACCTGTTGTTCGTTTAAGCTGTTCACATAAATTACAGAGCTATAGAATGGTTTGGGTTGGAAGGGACCTTAAAGACCATTTAGTTTCATCCCCCTGCCATGAGCACGGACATCTTCCACTAGAGCAGGTTGCTCCAAGCCCCATCCAACCTGGCCTTGAACACTGCCAAGGATGGGGCAGCCACAGGTTCTCTGAGCAACCTGTGCCAGTCCCTCTGTCAGTTTAAAGCCATCCCCCCTTGTCTGTCACTATATGCCACTGTAAAAAGTTCCTCTCTAGATTTCTTGTAGGTCCCTTTAGGAAGTGGAAGCCTGCTATAAGGACTTCCTTGAATATTTTACACCAATCTGTACGTTGGTTTAGAATGATTTTGCCTCACAGGTATCTATTGGGCACTGAGTTTTTAATCTTTAGCACACATTCAGTGTATTTTTAACTTACTTTCCAAATGTAGGAGACCTTGCAAGCTTATTGTCTAGTGTTTTTTTAAAAACAGAAAATGCACAGTGTACTGTACTGCACATCTCTGTGTGTTAACTAGTATCATTGCTTGTAGGTTTTCACACTCTGATATGAAAACTAGTCACACTGTGTGTCCATTATGGAGGAAAGGAGAAGGCGATACAACAAGTTCAAGCAGGTTTAAATAGAGATGAACCGAAGAAAACAGACGGTTGTTCATAAGACACCAAATTATGATTTAGTGTCTTGAAATCAGGAAAATACAAGAAAAACATGCCAGCAAGCTACACTGGGTGTTGCTGGACCTACTTGAAGATTTGGATGTAAAACGTGAGGAAGAAATTAAGTCAGATGATACCAACATTACAGATATAAATCCTTTCCTTTTTTATTTTCTTCAACTGAGTGAAGAACATCTGTAGAGTGGAACAATGTCTAGATGCCTAGGTAGAGCTGTAGGCAGTTGGCGTAGATGCAGAAAGTTGGAGAGTCATCGGTATTTGGGAGCATGAGTAAGAAACTATGGACACAGGCAACATTATCAGAAGGTCAGCCAGAAAGTGGTATTTAAATCATGGACACAAGAGATCATGAAGTCCCAGAAAAGACTTTAAGGAATATTCAGAAGTAAGAGAGTGAAGAATGTGTTTGGTATAACCCAGTCATTGATACTGTTGAAAGCAGCAGAGTGCAGGGCTAATGAGGACTGGTAACTGACCCAAAACTCAGGGAAGGAAATGGCTGGAAGGTGGAATACTTAGCAAAGGGAAGCTTTGAAGTGTATTTTATTTGTTTATTTAGCCTCACCCCAAGGATAGTTTATATATTGAGTGTGATGTTCTATGGTATATCATACCCCTTTGGCTAGTTTGGGTCAGGTGTCCTATCTCTGCTCCTTCCCAGTCTCTATGCATCTGGTCACTTGCAGAGCATTGGACACTGAGAAGTCCTTGATCGGAGTAAGCATTACTTAGCAACAGCTGAAACATTGGTGTGTTGTCACCATTGTCCTCAGATTAAAGCCAAAACAGCATTGTACCAGCTACGAGGAGGAAAATTAACTCTATCCCAGCCAAAACCAGGACAGTATCAGGAGTAAGTTGTTACAAAATTCACTTTTTTATTTATGTGGGTATAACAGATCTATTTTATCTCTAAGTAGGATGTTTTAATGAATTGAAAGAAAGGAAGAAGAAAATTTCAGATGGTAGAATTCGATTCAGTGGTGTTTAGTGAAAATAAGACAGTAGGTAACAGAACAGTTTCTGTGGCGTGCTTTAAGAATAGGACTTGAAAACATGCTTGAAAGCTGATGGAAGAAATAAAGATGAGCAAACCCAAAGAAAAAGCAGCTAAATAGCAAAAGTTTTGAGCTGGAACTCTTTCCGAGACATTCAGTCATTCCACTAATTCCCATCCCATAAAACAGTTACTTGAGGAGCTACTTTGCCGTACGGCCTCATATTGGAAAGGTTGACATTCAGCAAGCAGTTCCTTAAAGATTCAAATGTTTTAAATGTCTTGACTTGTTTGGAAATAGTTTAGTGTTTGTTTTGCTACGGCATTATAGCTAAGATTATTGAATGATACGGCTGAAACAACCTGTTATCAAATATCTGGAGTCAGCACATGGAGTATGTGCTCATTGACCCAAACCACAGCATGTGTGCTTCTGGGGATATGCAGACTTTTCAAATTCCTAAATGACTTGATTAGGAGATGAGAGTTGACCACTGACTGACAATTATGGTTTGATTTTGATCTTAAATTTAAGTGAAGTTTGGTTTTAAGGCTGTTATGTTTATGGCTTTATTGTTCTATTTTTTTTTATAATATATTCATGTTTGAAGTACCTATTCTGTCTTGAATAGGCCTGGAAGTTTATGTGTTTCTGGGTTCATACAATAAAACTTTAGCAGTAAGTGCTCTAAAGGGATCATACTTTTTATGCTGCTGCTCAAAATAGAACTTTCACCTTGAATTCCTTTAACAGTTAATATTTCAATATCATGTTCTATTACCTACCTTATTTGAAATACTACATTTGAATAATTTCTTTGGCTTCTTTTAGGGACTCAACAACAGCTTATTGCACAACATGCTTTGGAGAAAGAAGCTTTGGAGAAGATTAAAATAGAAATTGAGGAGGAGCTAAAACATCTTGATGAAGAAATCTTGGAAGGTGCTCTTCTGCTTTTCCCCTTTCAGTAGATAATCTCTATGCACTATATTGGTGGTTAATTTGTAACAGGTACTCTAGTTAGAGATATTTTTGAATGCATTTAATCTCTTTACCCTCCTCCCCACCTAAGAGTTCTACACATTCTCATGAAGTAAAATAGTTAAACATTACTGTTTGGAGTGGTGGAGTCTAGCCAAAGCAAACAATTAAATGTCATTTAATAGGCTACTATAAATAATGAAATGTAAGCAGCCCGTAAGCTGCTCCAGTTGATGACAGAAGTGAAATCATTCTTCAGTAGCTAACAGAGGAGTGTGGGCTTAAACCATCAGATTTCTCAGTTCCACCAGGTTGATATTTTTTTTGTGACATGCTTTACTTGTAGATGTGACTTTTATAGGACTCCCAGCAAAGGATGATTTGGGAACAATCTTGCCTTTGCATGTGTTCTGCAAATTGGAAACACGAAGTAGAAAGGCTCTATATCTGTTTACGTTCATTCATATAGACCTTTCCTAGAAATTTTAAACTGAGAAGGAAAAGGTTATGTGAACAAAATATTGTTTAAAAAATTGTCTTCTAGTACTGCTGTAGATGCATATGTCCATGTGTGGACATACCATGGAAACCATGGAAAAGAGACTCTCTTGCTGCTCCATCAGGGTTGGCATCAGCCTAAGATTGAGAGCAGCTGCACATTCAGTTAACTTGCTGGTTAGGATGCAGTTGTAAAATAAGAGGTGGAGGGGAAATGTAACTCCAAGTCATCTATGGCTTGTAAGTGCCATTTGTAAGTGGCTTGTAAGTACCACTTCCAGAGTATATTTGAACCATATTCATAAAATGTTTTACTACAATTTGTTCATAGCATGCTTTGACTGTAGAGTTAGGATTTCTTCATCCCTTATGTAAACTGTATTCACTGGTGGGATGAGAGAGCTGACACTGTTGATGTTCTTACGTGAATCTCTTTTATTTTCTTTTTTTTGGTATACTTTTGCTTCACAGCATTTACCACTACAGGATTTGACTGCCACACTTCCCCAGTGTTCAGTCCTGCCAACCCAGAGAGCTCAATAGAAGACTGCCTGGCTCATTTGGGGGAAAAAGTGTCCCAGGAATTTAAAGAACATCTGCACAAAGCACTGCAGAGCTTGCTTAGCAAGTGAGTTTCCAGTTGCTTTTTTCAAAGGGAAGGTGTTTCCTTTTGAATTGTGACTGAAGTTAGCTGCTGAAATGCTAAAAATGGGATTACATTTTGTGTTGCATTTCTTTCTTTTTCAATGTTCCTTTACCTGGCTGGTGTTTGTTTTGTTTTGTTTTGTGCTGTAGTGTTCAAATACTTCTTTGTGGTATTTGATTTTTGCAGTAATTTAAATGCTAACATTTTTCTAAGCTTTTATTATTGAACTTCTGAGACTAGTTCAAGCAGTTTGAGTTGCTGGTGGAACTAGCAGCTGGCAGCTGCCAGTTGCCATTGCCAATTTCATGAATGCTGGGCTGTAGCCAGATTAACTTCTTTTATAGTTAAGAATGGAGCTAAAGGTTTGTTTGTAGTCTGGCTCTAGATGAGGGGGAGAGTTTCCCTGGAAGGACAGTAGTTAGATGCTTTATGACCACCGTTCATGAACACATCTGACGCAAATCTGGGCCTCTGGACTAACCTTGGTGCCTTAAGAGCTGTCCTGCCAGTTTAAGCTTATATAGCACATTGTACTTGGCATGCTACTATCTTGACTAATGTCTTTTGCAAGTTAGTAAAATTATTGTGCTTGCTTGGTTTTCTATTATAAATCACCAGCCTGATTTTTAATGGATCCACATGAACTACGTCTGGCTGTTCCGACTGACCTCCAAAATGTATTTGTGGAGATTTGGAAGGTGCAACTTTAGGGACAGTTACATAAATGCAGTTGTGAAGGCAGCACTAGCAAATAGCTACTTAGTCTATGTGTTGTGGATTGGTTTAAATAATACGACTCAAAAGAAGATGAGAATCTCTAGTACTACTCCTTCAGAGTTTGCATAGCTGTTCGTGGACTGTTTGAACAACAAGATCCTGGAAGCCTAGATACCACTACCTACTGTAAACTTTCTAATGCATTGGCCTTAAGCATTCCATATATGCATCGGAGAGTCATTTCATGCTCTTACGAAGGTAATACCCTTTATGGCAGGCTTCTGGAAGATTACAAATTTGGATGTCATTCCATCTGAATTTCAGGAAACACCTTTTTACCATGAGGGTGACAGAGCACTGGTGCAGGTTGCTCAGGGAGTTTGTGGAATCTCCACCATTGGAGATACTCAAAAGCCATTTGGACATGGTTCTGGGCAACCTGCTGTAGGAGACCCTGCTTGAGCAGGGAGGTGGGATATTCTTGCGCAATGCCCTCCAACCTCAATCATTCTGTGATTTCTTAACTATTGACCTATTCCTTAACTAGCTTAACTAGTCAACAACTAAGAGTTGGCTTTTTATGACCAATATAATTTAAAACTGACTGTTCAAAGTCAGGTAGGATGAGGCTTTGAGCAATCTGATGTAGTGAAAAATGTCCCTGCCCACGATGTTTAAAGGTCACTTCTAACCCAACCCTTCCTATGGGTATGATTCTATGACTCTGAGCTGGATTTCACCGCAAAGGTGCCATGTAACATCTGCCCACACAGATGAAGATGGTTGTGTCTTTCTCCATGACTCATCCAAGTACACTCTGTCAGCTCACCATTTATCTTTCAAAAACTAGTCTGCTTCTATATTTAGTTTCTATTGAGTCAAAAAGTAAGTTCAGTGTTGTGTAAACTAACAACTATTTACCCATAGAAAAGAGTATGTGGGGTACAAATTTCTCCTTGTGTGGCAAAATGTATGCTAGTGTGTTCCTCCAGAAATGCAGGAGCTTATCTGCCTTTACAAGCCAGGCATTTATCCTGTGTGACCTTAAAAACTTGTATTTAGTATCTTCTGAAGAGCTGAGGTTTTGATAAGTACCTCATTCTATAAAAAAACCCAACCAACAGACTGGCAGCAAGTTGGAAAATAAGCAGTGAGCCTTGCAGCCCACCCTTTTTGTGTGTCTAAAGTGGTAAATTGAAATAACAGCATTTTAAGTTGAAATGTCTTCAAGGTTGTAGGTAATTGCCTGACTGACATAGAGGGGTTGTATCTGGTGCACTCTTGGTTGACTGTTTTTGGAAAGTTCCTGAGATGAGGTCTTTGAAATTTAAGTGGTTCTAGCTTGTTAGCAGCCTGATGTTCTAGTCTTCTTATGTTTTCTATGAAAAAATATTTGCATTCTAAGTATTTTCGCTATTTATATACATTCATACATACATAAAAAGTCTGAAATGCCTGTGAAAATGTGTTGACATGCATGCCTTTTTATAAGGCAAACTAAAGCTACTGTTTAATCTCTTGATAATATCCTTCCTGCAGCTGTTGTTGCTCTTTTCATCCCACTGATTCATTTGGATTTGCATTTTACAGGAACTAATGCACCAAGGAAGTTAATAGAATAAACTTAAAATGAAAAACCCAGATTACATTTTCCCCAGTGTACTTTAACTCTGTTCTTTTACCCATGTTTACTACAGTAGTGCTATTTGATGCAATACTTATTTTGCTTATATTTTCCTGTCCTCTTATATGCATATAAACAAGTATGTTATGGTACAGTAGGCTGTTAGAGCATGACAGGTTCTTGGAGTTCAATAAGCAGTCTTCTGTCCAGTACCAGTTGCCACTATTTTCCCTTAAACTGAAGTCTGAACTTGCCTTTTGTCATGATCTGGCTCAGGACAACTGCTTTTGAAGCTGCACATCTGTTGCTCAGCGGAAAGCCTTTATTGTTACCAGCTCTAAGATACAATATGATCTTAGAGGAGAGAATATGGAAGAGAGAAATGTCATCATCCCGATTCAAAGAAGTAGAGATGTGATAAATCTAAAATGGAGGTATCTACTGAAATACAAATACTGAATTACTGAAATGTTGTGACCAAAAGTGCTGTTTCTTGCAAATAAAGGCTTCAACTCTTCAAGTTGTAGAGTAACAAATTATTATGAAATTCACTTAACTAATTATATGAAATAGTGTAACTGGGAGAAGGTGATACCTTCCTGACCCTGTCTGATGCTGTGTTTCGTGTTCTGAAATGCAAGACTTGTTAGCTCTTGACAATTAGTTGCTGTAATACATGTAAAAATACTTCATTCTCTGAAAATTCAGAATTTTAATTTATTCTTGTTCTTTTGTTTCCTTTTATAACTCTCAGTGTTGGTTTAACTTCTGCAGGCCGGTGACGTATCAAGAATATCGAGAGCGCACACAAGAGACAGCTGCCCACGCCAGTGGATGGAATAAGGTACCGAATAAGTGACTTTCACTTTGATATGTCTTGTATCTGGTTGATGTCCATAATGTTTTACTAGGTACAGATGGTCAACTTGTGCAATCTGTGCCTGTGCTCTGGCACCCTCACAATAAAAAGGTGTTTCTTGATGTTCAGATGGAATGACATCCAAACTCAAAGAGGGTAGATTTAGATTAGATATTAGGCAGAAGTTCTTCCCTGTGAGGGTGGTGAGGCGCTGGCACAGGTTGCCCAGAGAAGCTGTGGCTGCCCCATCCCTGGCAGTGTTCAAGGCCAGGTTGGACGGGGCTTGGAGCAACCTGGTCTAGTGGAAAGTATCCCTGCCCGTGGCAGGGGGATGAAACTAAATGGTCTTTAAGGTCCCTTCCAACCCTATCCCTGTGGTGGTAGATGTGGAGATAATACACAATTTTTAGGTATTTTAGCCAGAAGTTATCTAATGAAATTGCCAGGTCAATCTTCCTTTATTATACTAAAATAAAAAGTTAAGAGTTGTTGCTTGACGTAATTTCCTAAAAATAATAACTTTTAAATTCCCAAGAGAGATTTATTTCTTTAGCACTTTTGTAATGAAATCTGAGACACATGTTTTCATAGTATTTCTCTACTGTTCCTTTGCTCCCATCTCAGGTTCAAAATATATGTTAAAAAAAAAGTGCTGAACATGGTGAAAATAAAAAATGATAATATCTCCACAATACTTAAATGTTCAGAAAACATAAGGATAGTACACCTTCCTGGTTTCAGGAACAGTTATCTCAAATGATATGAAGCTTCTTTTTAAAACAAAATGCAGATCTGTAGCTGAAGTATCTTAATAGTTTTAATGTAGAATGAGTAAAGAATTACTGTTCCCAGATTCATCTTTCATTAATCATTCAAATTCATCATCTTAATCATTCTCTAATGGGTTCAGTGGGCATCAGAAAAGTAATGAAAAAATGAAATAACTATTTGCAAATTTACTCACAAACTGAGTGTTACAATGTGGTCTTAAATTTAAAATAGAACAAGAAATCTTTTCCCCCTCCCTCTTTATATTTTTTTCCCAGAAATAGTTTTCCTTACCTACATGTCCCTGCTTACTTCAGAAACTGATCCTCTAACCAAGGGCGAGGGCACTTTTAAAGCAGCTTATTAAACACTGCTTGGCAAGTTACTGCCCATGGCTCCAGCAATTAAAACTGGTGCGTGAGTCCTTTCAGTTTATCATCTTATGATTCACAGCATTTTACTTTAAACAGCCATGAAATCTGATTACCAGGAAGGTGGCTTAAGGTAGCACATTGTACTTCTCAGTTGATGAAAACTAAAAATAAGCATGAAACCAGTCATTGTGGCTCAGCTGGCAAGGGAAGAGGTGGATGGAGCTGGTCAGTTGCCTACTGCGTCTCCATATGCTATTGGTACACACTTCTTGAAGATCACAGAATCATTAGGGTTGGAAGGGAGCCCTGGAGTTCATCTAGTCCAAACCTCCTGCCAAGGCAGGGTCCTGGTTAGATGGATCAGCCACATTTGGGTGCTTATGATTCAGCCTTTGTTGCTGCTACCCATTTGTGCAGGTCCTGTGGCTAATGCATTTTGGTCCCCATCAGCCATTGTGATTGAGGATATCATCCAGAAGTCTTAGTCATCATCTTTGCTTACCCTTAACATTTGTTGCTACAAAACTTAGAGTCCACAAACAAACCAGAAAGGAAATTTTGCAGAATAATACAGCATCTGTTTGTGTTGGGTTTTGTGGTATCTTGATGCTTCAGGGATGTCGAGC